GAGATCTTCCAGTAAGCATTTGCCCAGCTTCAGGGGGCTGAGAAAGGTGAGGAAATTTAGGATCAGTTGCATCATTTTATACTGTGTCAAGGTATTGAATAGCGTTTTTTGTGTGCTTTTTTTTATTTTTTTATTTTTATAACCCACTTTTGAGTCGTGTAGTTTGTTATTTTAACCAGTATCTTTGGGAAAAAAACCCCAAACTAGATTGGATTTATGAGATTGGATTTATGATATATATATATATATATATATATATATATTTATTTATTTTTATTTATTTATTTTTTTTGGGAAGTTACAGGATGGTCAGATGATACCAGTCTTTGTTTCTTTTAATTTGGGAACTTAGAATATTCTTTACAATGTGGTTTCCTTAGAAGTTTATATATTTATATCATATATTGTCCTGGACACTGACATCCCCAGTCTAAATCCACTCTGAGATCTTGGCTGCATGTCATTCTACCCTCAGAGTCTTCCCACAGTTCATGTCACCGTCTTCTTTCAGCTAATAATCCCAGGAAAAAAATTGTCATATATTCACACTTGCAGGCTCTGGATGGGCATAAATCATCTGGGGATTCTGGCTCTCGAAGGGACTCCTCTTCAGTGATCTTCTCTGATTCTTCCAGAGAAGGGTTGCTTAACTTTAGGCAGTTCAGTACAGATAAAAATAAGGTATTTCTTTACATTCATGTCTTCATCTAACACTGTAACTATCACTAACGTTATGGTTTCTAAGCATTTCTCTCTCTATCTCCTTTCTTTTCTTATAGCGTGTTGGTGGGGGAATGAGATCATGGAAGCAAATGTATGCTGTTTTACAAGGTCACACCCTGACCCTGTACAAAGACAGGAAAGATGCACTGTCTCGCTCTTCAGGGCAATCCGAGGAGGAACCACTGCGAATTAGCATCGAGGCCTGTCTGATTGACATCTCCTATAGCGATACAAGACGCAAGAATGTGCTGCGACTAACCACCTCAGACTGCGAGTACTTGTTTCAGGCAGAAGGGAGAGATGACATGCTGTCTTGGATCAAAGACATTCAGAAAAACAGTAACCCAGATGAAGAGGTTCGTGTGTGTGCGTGTGTGTGTGTGTGTGGTAAGACCAAATGTTGTGTGCTTAAATGCAGAGCCAAGTGATGGTTATGACCACATGATGAGTTGATCTCTCACAGCCTGTCTGCCAGCTTAAGTGGTTTGATTATATTTCCCCCAAACTTCCTAAAGTGCACCAACTCCTGGCTGGCCTCATGCTTTTCTGTCCTATAATTAAAAAATTGTTATCAAGTCAGAACATAATACTGTAGTAGTACTCATTTTTTTTTTTTAGCACACTAGCATGTGCTAGTTTAGACTACAGCACGCTGTAGTTTTGAAAATAACAACCGGCACACCCATCAGGTTAACAACAAAGAGACCCAGAGTTTGTCTTTGAATAAAATACAATGAACATGTCAGTGAGATGGAGAGGATTACAGCAGTTATTTACAAAATGGTTAACAAAAGCAAAAATAAGGTGTCACTTGAAACCTGTTCTACCTGGGCAGAACAAAAAAAAAAAACCACGGATGGCACTTGGTTAGGGTGTGAGGGGAAATTTCCATTTCAGACTGAGAGGAAGTCAGTAAGGTTCCTTTCTGATCTGTACAATAAATAAATACATGATCATATATATTTATTTACAAAAATATTGCAAAACCTCGATAATTAAATTGTATTATATTACAAAACAATATATTTTTATTTTAAAGTCTTCTGTTTATGTCTGTTCTCGCTACAGAACGCAGCTGTGAGTCGGGACCTGATCAGCCGAAGGATCAAAGAATACAACATGAGGTATGAGGGACTACATTGACCCCTGAGGGGGATCCAAAATACTGGACTACCAGTATGGCCTCTTAATTGTAATACTTATTTAGACTGTGTATTTTTTAAATATTTTGCTGTTGAACAGTGCACCCAGCAGCAGGTCTGAACCTTCACCCAAGCCTGCCCGACATTCGCTGAGCATCAAAACGCCATTCCTTGGAGGCAAAACAGATGGTAAGAACCATAGCCCCCATTTGCCCAAAACTGGAGAGGAGCAGAGGGCAATGAAGAGTAAAGCTGCCAGTTTTTAATGTTAAGGTGTGTCATTAAGTGTCGTTAGAGTGCATGTAACCTCAATTTGTATACGTTTGACCTGTCAGATGAGTCCAGTCCACCACGGGACAGAGGTACTTGGAAAATTGCCATTCCAGGGATCATAAGGAAGCCATTTGAGAAAAAGACTCCAGCTGGCATCACTTTTGGTGTCCGACTTGATGATTGTCCATCTGCACAAAGTAACGAGGTGGGTCTGCTGTGTTTCTACAGGGTTTTTTTTGTTTTGTTTTTTTAAGGATGGGCTCATTATCATTCAGATGAAGATGAAATGTGTTTCTTCCAGACAAATAAAATGCATCTTTACATCCACTTTGAATCACTCATTCACTGGAGCTAACAGTGTGTGGTGTCATTGATCGATATGGTTCATGATGTTGATTTTTTTTTTTTGTCTTCTTATGTAATTTGTGCAGAATGTTCCTCTCATCGTGGAGGTGTGCTGCAAGGTTGTGGAGGAGCGAGGTCTGGAGTACACAGGAATCTACAGGGTCCCTGGGAACAACGCTGCCATCTCCAGCATGCAGGAGGAGCTCAACAGCAAAGGCATGAATGACATCGACATCCAGGAAGACGTGAGTGACTGACAGTCAGGTTGCACAGTACAGTGCACCACTTCCCTGACAACATCTTTGCACTGTGATTGATTCGTACTGCAAGAACTGCATTAACCTGAAGCTGCCTTGATCTACTCTGCAGAAATGGCGGGACCTTAACGTCATCAGTAGTTTATTGAAGTCCTTTTTCAGAAAACTTCCAGAACCTCTGTTTACAAATGGTAAGACTAAAGTCATGAAGAATACATTGCAAAATCTCTGGGATAATGTCGTTTTTCCTGTGCGGTTATTCTTTTTGCAATTGTAAGTTGAGGTTTTCTGGATCTGTTCACAGAAAAGTATGCAGATTTTATAGAAGCCAGCAGAATAGAAGACTCAGTGGAGAGATTAAAGGAGCTCAAGAGGCTGGTGAGTGAAAGATCAAATATGAGGAATCTATTTGAACAGTTATTACCATAAAGCATTCTCCTCATCCTGAGCACTGGCCCCCTGTTTGGTCATTTCCTCCAGATCCGTGAGTTGCCAATTCATCACTATGAAACTCTGAAATTCCTTTGTGCTCACCTCAAAAGAGTTTCTGACAACTGTGAAAAGAACAAGGTATGAGCATCAACAGGATCTCTGTGTTAATGCCGTTAGTTAACACCATGCAGTGCGTTCAATCCTGTGCTAATCCAGTGTCTCTGAGGATTATGTCATTAAATGTGACTTTTACCTTGTATCTATTTAGATGGAGCCTCGTAATCTAGCTATCGTGTTTGGCCCTACCCTGGTCAGAACCTCTGAGGACAACATGACTAACATGGTTAACCACATGCCAGACCAGTGCAAGATAGTCGAGAACCTTATTCAGCAGTTTGACTGGTTCTTCGCTGATGATGGTGACGAGGACCCTGTTGTATGTAGCATTTCTTTTTCCTTATTTTATTCGATGGAAATTAAATGAAGGGTCTATCAGTTCTGTGGATCAGTTTAGTTGTTGATTTTGAAGACATGCAGCTACAGTGTTTATGGATTACCTTTAAAATGTAAAAACAGAATTGAACAACTTGCACATGTCATGAACCCAGATTTTATTTTACAATAGAAGATAGAAACCCTATTTCTTGCATTTTGTTAAGTTACTTTTTACTCCTTTTCTTCCGTATGTTGCTCCAGACCACAGCGGAGCAGGAAAGTACAGTGCAGTCTCAGCCTGTGCCCAATATCGACCACCTGCTCTCCAACATTGGGCGGACTGCACCCTCTCCTGGCGAAGTCTCAGGTAACTTAGCAGCAGTGTTTTTCACACTTCAGCATCAGCACAGCAAATTTCTGCCATAGCAGCATTAATATTTTTCCTTAAGATTATAGTAGATTAAAAGAGTTGTGTGGTAAAGACCTATTTAAGATTAAATGCTGGTAGAGTGTCAATTGCAAATGCTAAAAGTACGAGCACCATCCCTTGTTTTTCAGTTCATATGCTTTAAGCGAATACTAAACAGCCAAGTTTTATTTGTTTCTGTTAAAGCAAGTTTTGTTTTGTTTTTTTCAGTAACTTTTCAGTGGATGCAATGTTGCGCTTCAGCCACTGGAAAATTGTTGAAAAATGCCTTGTAATTTTTTGGGATAAAAGTCTGTTTTGTTTGGATGTTGATGTTTATTTGCCCAAAATTAAACTGTCCTCAAGTTTTGTTTTTGTTCGTTTCTTTGCTTTACTCTTCTTTTTTCTTTTTCTTTTCTTGCTCAAGTCATTTTTTTCTCCCTGTGCTTTACCTGTGTTGAGACGACGACTCCTTTTCTTTCAGTTCTTTTCTTCCCCTCCTCCTCGTCTCTCACATAATCCCGGCATGTTCTTTCCCAAAGAAAATCTAACAAACAAAACGAAACAATGGAAGTTTTAACCCTTCTGACCTGTGCCCTTCTGTGTGTAGTGTGTTGTTTTTCTCCCTTATCCCTGTCCAGCACTCACACATTACCCAATCTTGACACAGGCCAAGTGGGCGGCGTCTATCACTCGATGATGTCACTGATGGACTCTGTTTTGTCAGTGATGGACAGCTGGGACTGTAGGAAGAAGGACGAGTGTTGTGCCCAGTGTAGCTGCCTAGTCTGCAGAAACCCGCAGCTCTTTTAAATTTGGGCGAAAGGAGGAAAAAAGATAAAAAAGAAAGAAAGAGAAGTCGATGTTTGTCATTTTTCCTGTGGTGTGCACGTCTCATATTTAAACCAATACCCTAAAATGAGGGCATACAGAGCGATGCTGCTGTTCTCTCTCTGAAAGCCCTTCTGCTGTCTCTTGTTGTTTCTTAAGCTGATCGTAAGGACAAGTAGCATGGTACGGTCAACCTCAGGTTCTCTCCCGGTCATGTGGCATAATCTGTCATGATGTCTGAGGGTGGGGGTCGTGGTGTTGGGACTGAGCTGGATGTTCCCCAGCACACATGCGTTTACACACAAACAAAAAACACACACAGCCACCTCCCAGGTGGAGTAGTAGTTAGCAACTTACTGAAGCAGAGGCACTCAGGCTTTCAGCTAGCACTGGATGGAGTTCCCGTTAGGAAGATGTAGTGTTTTTTTGTTTTTGTCTTTTATTTGTTGTCTGTGATGTCATTCTTTTAAAATCTTCAGTATTTTAAAATGTCACATCGTCAACTACAGACCAACATTTTCTCATATCTTGTAACATAATGTCACAGCCGCATGTCTCTCTCCCAACCATGCTCTGCACACACACAGACACACCCACAAATACACACCAAAATTTTAACCTAACTTAAAACAGCATTATCATAGTGGTAGTCCCGTTACAACGTGGGAACTTTTAGGAGTCGTAGGAATCGATTATTTAGTCATATGATAAAGGTTTTTATTGGACTCTGTGCAGTCATATGAAAAACTAAGTACAGCCCATAATTCAGTAGCTTTTAGAACCACCTATAACAGCAATAACTTGGAATAAAAAAAGATTTCTCAGACTTCATCAGTCTCTGACATAACCGTGGAGGAATTTTGGCTCACTCCTTTGTGCAGCATAGCGTTATTCAGTTTGTGTGTTTATTTATGTACAGCTCTCTTAAGGACCTGATTTGCTGCTGGATCATTGTCCAGTAATTTTAGCTCATCTTTAGCTATCAAGACAAAAGGCCTCACATTTGAGTCACATTGAGGAGTTCATTGTCTGCTCTATGACTGCAAGGTGCACAGTCTGTAAAACAAGCCGAGATCATCATCCCTCCACCACTGTGCATGACAGTTGGTTTACAGTGTTTGCGCTGATATACTGCCTATTGGTTTTCACCAAATGCATTGTGTCCAAACATCTCCACTTTGGGCCTGTCTGTCTAAATAACATTGTTTCAGAAATCTTGTGGTTTGTTCATATGCAGCACTCCTACCTTAAAAGCCATACCCATTTAGTCTTTTTCTGGTTTTTTTTATTCTCAGATACGTTAAAACTTTATGAGACCTGTAAAGTCTTAGATGTAGCTCTTGGGTTTTTTGCATTTCTCAGAGCATTGCACGGTCTGGCCTTGGGATGAGTTTGTTGGGAATTCTGCTCATAAGAAGATTGTCTGTTTTGAGATTTATTAACAAACACCTGAATGTTCCAGGGTAGCAAATTACCAAACTTCTACTTTTATACAGATGCTCACCACACATTGATATTTTAAAAAGTGCAATCGGTTAGCACCACCTAGCTGCTTCTGTTCATTTTTATTCCATTTGAAGCAGTAAGGGTGTACTTGGTTATTCACTGGACTGCAGAGTCAAAACGTTTTTACATGCCTGTAGGAATATTAGAAAACGGTGAGTTTCAGGCCAGTGACAAAATGTATTTCAGTTCAGCTTTATTTATTCTGCAGTTTAAAGAATACACAGCGATGAACAGTTTAATGTGTAATAAAATCTATAAATAGGTAAACCTGATTTTTAAAAAAAAACCCTCAACATCGGAAATATATGGTCATTAAGTTCTGAGCAAATCTTCCTTTTTTTTTTTTTTTTTTTTTTTTTTTTAAACAAGTAGTTGACAAATTTAAGGCTTACACTCAAAGACACCTCACAGTGCCTCCTGTTTTTAAAAAACGTATTATTGAATCAAGATGCCACATCTCAAATTTTTGCTACAGCGTTAACTCACACAGGATTCATTGGAAGTTTTGTTTTGTTTTGGTTTCTTTTGTTCCTGCATTTAGTTCCTGCGGCCGCATTATTTCTGTAAAAAGCCTGCTTATCTTGCAGTATGCATGATTTGAGTCAGAGAAAGTCTTGCAAATGTTTTTGGCTTTTTATGTCTTTTATAGTGACAGGCTACTTGTTGAGGGAAATGTAGAATTTCATGCAGCTTGGAGTAAGAGCAAGTTAGACTAAAGTTTGCCCGCGGCAAGTTGTGTCAACCACAAAACACACTCACTGGTCTGTTCAGCTCAGGCCCCTTAAGTCTCTCAGTCAGAGCAAACTCATCACTCCCTCTCCTCTGTGACGTCTTTGAGTTGGGAAAGAATGCCCACAGCTGGTTGGTGGCTATATGTGATGCTCTGTGACTGGCGTGTTTGTTCGTGATGTGCCGTCGATCCATCGATACTCGAGCATGAGCTGCTTTTCTGTGTCTTGGTTTACCGCCAGGTTCTCACTTCCTCGCCCCTCATTATTCATCTCAGGCCTCTTCTGCTGCCGTCTCCACTTTTTCATATACCGCTTAGCTTAGCTACACCTCTCTCTCTCGCGCGCGCTCTCTCTCTCTCTCTCTCTCTCTCTGACCAAATTGTATCATCTGCTTTCATGTAACTGCTCTCATTAAATCCATTGTATCTTGTCACTTTCACTCTGAGCAAACTTTGAATCTGCCTCTTCTTTCTGTATATTGTCTGCTTTGAGACTGTCCTTAAGATGTGAGACTTTTACTAATGAGTCTCTTGTTTTTAATGCAGACTCAGCATGTAGTGAAACCTCCAAATCAAAGGTAATGTGCTCCTTTGTGTTTCTGTTTTCTCATTCATGTGTCTGAGCTAGTTTTATGGTCTGAAGTCCAGTTTTAATGTTTTAATGCCATTTTTAATGTGTGTCATCAGGGCTTGTGGGGATCAGGGAAGGATCAGTGTAGCAAAGAATTGATTCGCTCCTCCTTCTTCGTTAACCGCAAACGCAAGAAGCCCAAGGAAAAAGTTCAGCCTAGCAGTTCAGATGATGACCTGGACCCTGTGTTTACAAAGAAGGAGCTACCAAAGGAGAGCCAACAGCATCCTCTGTGGTCCCCGCACAGTCGGACCGAAGAGGAGGAGGAGGAGGAGGAGGAGGAGGAGCAGCAGACAGATGAAACCAGCGAGAAGGAGAAGGAAAAGAACAGTTCTGAGGAGCAGCTGGACAAAACCAACAGGAAAGAATATCTTTCTAACAGCTCAATGTCACAGCCCTCTCCCTCCCTGCCTCCAAAACGCATTTCCTCCAACCTTCAGACTGGATCCCCCTACCCCTCTCCTACACATTCCCCAGACCTCAGCTACCGCATGCCGATGGTTCACCAGTCCTCTCTCACGGACCCGCCATCAAACTATGATGACACGGTGTCTGACCTCGGAACGATGAACAGCACCAGCTCTCAAGCATCAGTGCCCAGAATGAGGCGTGGCAAGACGGTGGGTGCCCTGGGAGCAGAGATGTGTCCCAGCGGGCTGGGAGCGGAGGTTTGCTCAATTACCTCAGACTACTCCACCACATCCTCCATGACTTTCCTGACTGGAGCTGAGCTCAGCACCCTCAGTCCCGAAGTGCAGTCTGTGTCTGAGAGCAGGGGCGGAGAAGATGCTGATGATGAGAGAAGCGAGCTCATCAGCGAAGGAAGGGCAATGGAGACGGACAGCGAGAGTGACCTGTCAGTGTTCACTGTGGGTAAAGCCGACCAGCGAGAACCGCAGGAAGTCCTTCGACCCCTCCCCTCACACAGACTCATCGAATGCGACACACTTTCAAGAAAGAAAGCCGCCCAACAGAAAACCAACAGCGAGTCTTCTCTGGACGGCGCTCGTAGCGATAAAGATTCCACTGGACCGTCACGCTCTTCGGGGTCAGTTAAGGGTCGTTCCACCGCAAGCCTCAGCACTGCGTCCCGGAGTGAGCTGGACAAAGGAGAGCCCACGTGGAAGTTGAAGATCACAGACAGACTGAAGGTACGCATGCGAATGTCTGTGGATGACATGTTCGGTGTGGGCAGCCAGAGGATTCAGACCTCAGAGGGCCGCAGTAAGAAGAAGAACATCAGACGCAGACACACGATGGGCGGGCAGAGAGACTTTGCCGAGCTGTCAGTCTTGGGAGACTGGCCGCAGCAGGTTCACATCGGCTCACGGTCGGAGCTCTCAGCTGTGGACCGGCTGAAACCTAAGTGCAGCTCTCAGGACTTCTCAATCGGTGACTGGATCGCCCGCGAGCGCCACCGATCCAGCAATCCCGAGGTCAGTCTGGACTTCTCTGAACAGCAGAACCCCAGAGCCTCGTTCTCTTCTGAACCCCCACATCATCCTGCTGAGGCGCTGAATGGGGACTTCCCCCAGAGCAAAAATCTGAGCCTCTCGGCCACCGCTCACCCACATAAACTCACCAGTTCCCAGGTGGTCCATTCGCGCTTCTATCAGTACCTGTGAGAGCTGTGTGCGTGTGGCTGTGTGTGTTTTTGGTCTGTCAGGTGTGTCTCTGTATATGGGAGTCTGTCAGTGTAGTGTCTATTGTGTGACCAATGTCTAGTGAATGAGCATGTTGTACAAAAATGTGGTGTGTGTATGCTTGTGAAAAGAGAATTACTGCACACAGGAATTGTTGAGCTTGCTCATGTTTAAGGCATGGAACAAAATGTTATCTTTTTTTTCCATTTTGTTTTTGTTTGTTTTTTCTTTTTTTATATTAAAAATGACTTTGGGATGGCCCAAGAGGAGGATTTCAACCCTCCTAGTACAAGTCCCAGATGTGCTAACGATCGAAAGGACCTGTTGCCCGTGAAACGAGTCTGAAGTACGTTCAAGGAAGTGTGAACACTCAATTTAAGATTGTTTAAAGGTTTAGCTAAGTGGCTTTAAGGATGAACTGACTTAGGATGAATAGGAAGTAGTGGAAAAGTGCAGATTTTTCGTATTGCAGAGCAACTATTTTTGCGTAAAGAAAGTTACAGTGTTCAAAGTCGGTGAGTCTGTCGGTAACCAAATGAAGAATGTACAGACATGCTTGCTGTAATACTGACTAAAAGCTTTAGATGCTTGTGTTTCATTCTAAAGTGTACATATCCGTACATATCCCTATTTTTCTGTGTACTTGAATTGTGTTTTTTGGTACTGTGTGTGTGTGTGTGTGTGTGTGTGTGTGTGTGTGTGTGTGAGTGTGTGTGTGTGTGTGTGTGTGTGTGTGTGTGTGTGTGTGTGTCTGCCTGCCTACAAGCCGTCTGCTGTCAAAGGGGCCTTTCCAAAGGTACAAAGGTGACAAGGAGACACTGGTCTTATGCAAATGGAAAATATAGTTCATACTCATCCCTGCTGTGTGGTTTAAAGAGCAGTGAACAACAGCCCTCTGATGCAAGCTATGTTTTAGTGTTCGGAGTTCACACGTCTGTCCGCGATTGCAACGAAGAGAGAGTTGGGCAAAGAAGAAAATGGGTAATCGAACCAGAAAAATCAAGTTTTCTTCACTAAAGAAAGTGCCTCACAATGAAATGTTAAGGGTGCCATATTGTCTTTGTTGAGATACACGAAGATGTTACTGTGAATGACATTTTTACTGTTGACTCTCAGTCATTCTACAGGTTAAGAAAATGCCGAGCTTCCATTCCTTAGGCATTCCACTCTGGTCTTAATGTTTTATACATACTTTATCCTGTTTTTTTCATTTGTTGTTTTTTGTTTTTTTAATTTTAACAGAACTTGAATTTTAAATATTCATTGTAAAATAAGTAACTTAAATGTACATATAAATGCCATGTTTTAGCTGCTTTATTTTTCATTTCCATCAGATTGCAAGTTTAAGTACAGTATTGAGAAATGACAACGATGGCGATGATGAGGATGATTATCTCGAGGCCTGTGTGGGTGTTGTGGGCAGTTTGGTACTTCTCTGTGATGAGAGGTTCCCTGCAGGAGGAGGGCACTTCATTGAGCTGGATTGTTTGTATCAGTGCAGTGTTCCTCTTGATTGTAAGGGGGTGTGCACAGACTCCTGAAACACTGGAAATAAAATTTTGTCAATGGCAAATATCGATTTTCGCTTTCTTACCCCCCTCTTCACCACTTTGTATGATGGAAGTGAGATGGGCCAAAGCACTGAAATCTTTTTAAAAGGGGAAAATGCAACTTAAATAGTTGTGAATATGTTTAAGCTCTCAAATCATTTTAAGTATGAATCAATATTAATGATTACATTTAATCCTAATCATGTAGCATTAAAACATTTGTCTGAAATGTGCCTTTTAATTGGGCCGCTCACTACAAACTCGCCATGTTTTCCTTCTGCTGCTGTTTAGCTGTCTGCATTGTTTTAGTGCAAGTTATCCAGTTTTGCAGATATTGGCTGTAGAAATGTCCCGCTTCTCTGGAATGTAATGGATGTAAAGGGCACATGCTCTGCTGTGCACAGAGCTTCCGAAAATAATGAACAATGTTTAAGCAGGAACTGTGTTCATTTTACTGCATTTATCAGGCAGATCAGTGCATGAAGAAGCTCTCATTTTTAGTAGTTTGTAGGGAAAATGTTTCCTACAAAAAGAAGAATTGGTACCCCCCTTTTTAAAAACAAAAAAACAAAACAAAAACAGACATTGCATATTTTTCTTTTTTTTTTTTTGCATTAGTTCCATTATATCTCTGAAAGTCGACAACTCCTACCACATCAACCAGATTGAATGTACATTTAGCAGTGAGGCTGTACCCAGAATTCATTTCAACAAGTAAAATCATTGATGGCTGAATTCCCCTCAACGTGCATTCTGCTTCACTGTAAACTTGTACAAAGGCATTCAGTTGTCAAACTTCACAGAGCTTTTTTTTAAGATGGTGATTTAGCATGGAGCCCGGTTGGTATTTGTTTGCTTATACAGCTATTTCCTGGGTTAGCACACTATCCCAAGTAAAATACACTTACTGGCCACTTCAATAAGTATGTGTTCAACTGTTTAATCCAAATATTAAACAATCACATAACACAACTCAGGCATGTGGACAGGAATAGAAAACGGGAACTCAAAGATGTGCAGAAGAGCATCTCTGCATGCACAACATGTCCAACCTTGAAGCAGATTGGGTCCAGCAGCAGAAGACCACACCACACACTTTTATAAGCAAAAAACTGGGATGCTGTCATGTCCGTGTGGATCAAAAGGGGCAACAGGTAGTAATGTAGTGGCCAGTAAGTTTATTTCGTACCCAACCTGGTTGTCATCGTTTGCCTTTGTGCTTGTAGTTGTCAAGGTAAGGTCATGAATTAAGCCAAAGAAAAGATAAGTTTCAAAATGCTTTATATACAAGTTGCACATACAACATAAAGACTCAAGATGTTTTATACACTTTGTACATCAGCTGACTAGAAACCACTGACAACAGAAGTGATATGAGGAGAGAACACACAAAGTCGTCAAAGTAAACCACAAAATAATAATAAAAATCAGTATAGTTAATTCACCACTACGCCAGTTTGGATGGCAAATATCAAGAAACTGCAAACTAAATATCGTTGGTTTTGTGTTAGTGTAACACCTTCTCCCCAGCAGACGTACAGTTATCTTCTATTCAGCTCTTCCCAAGTTTTAAATGTGCCCCTTGATTCACACAACGCCTTTTCCATATTAGCTCATTTTCAGTGTCATGTGGGCTCCTAACATGAACACGTCACCCACAGTAAGGCACAGTGACTAAAAGAAAAAAGAAAAGGGTTCATTCGGAAATATGAAGAGGAAAATTTCACACCATTTTTGTACAGATACATTTTTTTGGAGTACAACACAAGTTAAACATTGTGCCTTTGTTTCGTAAAGCAACTAAAGACTGACGCAGCCAGACAGCCACTCCGACACGGTACAACTGTAAGACACTGAACAGAGAAATTCTGGGAAACAAGTACCAATAATCATACTCATGAACACAATAATCAGTAAGTTAGTTGGCAAGGTTATGAGAAACTGGCAGCCTTTTAAAAGTTAAATCTCAACATGATGAGCCTATCGTCGCAGGTGAGGGATATTTGGTGCCGCGAAGCACTGGATTAATGTGCCTGTTTTGTAATGGAGACGAAATGCCGAATGGATGCTTTGTTGATCCTCTATCAGTCCACCAGAGGGAGCACTAGTCCGTTAATCAGAGAGAGACATGACTGTTCGCATCTGAGATTTATTCAGCCTCTATCTGACTGGTTTCCCTGTCAGCAGCCAGCACGAGATGAGGAGAAAGGATGTAGGCAGAGGCCCTTTTTGCACATGCAGGTGCTGCACTTCATTGGAGCTAAAATCAGATTTGACAGCAGGTGGTGCGGATTTACTGGGATGGAACGAAAAATCTGTTGCATATTGTGCTGTAGTATCTGGCCGGGGCTGCTCAGAGGATCAAAGTTTAACTGTTGTCCTCGTTCTCTTCCTGCTGGTCGTCTGTCAGAATCTCTGGTAGCCGGAAACACTCCTCGAAGAAGTTGACCAAGGACTGGCTCAGGTGCTGCTGTGTCCCCTCACCGTGTAGGAAGTGTCCTTCGTCTGGATAGATCTGCAGATAAAGATGGAGAAATTAACAGAGACAGTAAGGTGAGGCTGATTTGGTGTCGTTCACTCAAAATCATATTATTATTACTTTTTTTTAATAATGTTTTTTCATTGGATAATGAAAATGCATTTTCTGAGAAAAAAAATACTAAAGCATAGCGCTGAAGTGTAAAAGAGTGACAAATGCACATAAAACTGGATGAAAAGAAGTTTTTCTTGGACATTTCAATCATTTTCAATGCAGTCTTTGTACCTGATCATTTTCAGAGTAATGTTGTTTAGTTTGATAAGTCACTTAACACTGAACCATGAATCATTCAAGCATAAAAAAGACACCGAACTCAAGGGATGAACCGGTGTTTACAGAAAGTTAACAGCCTAACAAAGAATAAAAAGGTATCTTTATGCACTTTGTTAATAGCAGCCTGTCGCAAAATTCCATAATTGTTTGCATTTCTTTATTACAATCTATGAAAAATATCAAAGACAACACAGTTTGACTGGCAGAGCTGTTAGATAAATACTTGGCATATCTTAGTGTTGAGTGCTGTGTGAAGTGGAGGACGAAAGAAGACGTGGTAGGCTTTAAAAAAACAAACAAAAAAAGAGGTCTACAGCAGACAAACAGTATCTGAAAGTCATGTTCTAAAAAATACATGGGAAAAAAATCCAGCAAAGACCCGGCATAGGACCTGAGCGACACATCTGACCCTTCAGCTGATCCATCTACTGTTCTATCTGTTCTCCAAAGTCTCATCCAGAAATGGTCTCAGTGAAACGGTGGTTTGTCAAGAAGCTATTACTAAAAGTTACAGGAGGATTTTATTATTTATTTTATCCTTATACACTGTATTTATTAAAAAGCCTTTCTGGCATGTATACAGGCAACAACAACAACAACACTAATTATGATATTGTGGGGAAAAAAACAGCAAAACAGCAATATCCGACTGTGCACTGGGACACTGCATAAACATAAACTGCATGTAAATAACTGAACAGTTCTTCAATCTGCAAAACTAAGAAAAAGTTATTTGTCAAGCTAAAATGGCAAAAATTAGAAAGAATAATACACAAATTAATCTGAAATGAACATAACTCTTAGTTACTTCTCTCAAGAGATTTTGAGAGCATTCTTCACACAACATCAGCCCATTTACACACACACACACACACACACACACACACACACACACACACACACACACACACACACACACTTTTATTCACACCAGTGATTTCAGACACCGTGGCTCACCTGCAGAGTGTAATTGGCCTTTTCACTGATTAAATGGTTGATGAATTTGGCTGTGTGCTGGAAGTGAACTTTTTCTGTGGTGGCGAAGATGATATTGCAGTTAGACTCTGAGCACGCACATATTTACTGTGGTATTTAGAAAAAAGAAAGCACTGGGTCCTACCATCAGCAGTCGGGTGAATTATTAAGTACTGTTTCTCCAGCAGCTGACCCGCTCTGTGTGCTAAATTTGCCATCTGGAGGAAAGAGACAGAAGGAAATCCACCATGTCATTGACACGTTCTTTTATAAAGACCCCCCAACTCATTGTCTGAGCTAAGCATTCTGAAGCAGAGGAGAAAAAAGGGTGGATACTTTACTGTGTAAACTCGGGAGTCTGTCTTGGCGCCGAGGTATCGCTCCGAAAATGCAGATGCTGCATTTTGCAATAAAGAAAACCAGGGTTAGAAAGATTGGGTACCTTTTAGATCTAACACTCACTTAGCAGAAGATTTACTGTAAAGTTTTACCATAAAGCTCGAAATCTGTGATGGGGGAAACTGCTGTTCCACATTTAAGTTGGGTAAATTCTTCTGAGCTCAAAAGCAAAGTTGCTAAATAACCACCATAGGCCTGGAGAAGAGGGAGACACAGATACAGTATGTGAAAATAATTTCATGGTGGGCTGTATTTTTATAAAGGCACAGAGGTGAGTAAAGGTTTAACAGTGCATCTGACTGTTATGTCTTCTTACCTTTCCATAAACTCCCATTCGATTCTTATCGATGTAAGACTGCTCAGATATCAGCCTGAAAATGAAAAAAACAACAACCCCCCCCCAACAATAATGAAAGTGACAAAAGCCAAATGACCAAATAGTTTTTTGCTTATTTTTCTGAGTCTGACCTGAGTGCCTCCAGCTGGTCCCTCTCCTCCAGTTTCCCCAGTTTCCTGCGGACCTTGTGGAGGAGGTTGGTGCCCTGAAATCCGCTGCCGTGGCCGTCAAAGCGGACAACAATTGTGCTGAAGCTGCTGACCAGGACGGTGGCCCAGTCCACCTGGAACTGCTCCGTCACCATCTGCCCGCCAGGGGTCCCATCCCTGTGAGAGAAGCACACAGTGTGATGGAAAACAATAAGTTCAACTAATATCTCAGAGCCTGGTGTAGTAGTAGTATTATTATTGGTTGGCACAAAAATGAGAAAATTAATTCCGAAAAGGGAACTTTGAATAATCAGATCTTTTACAAAACACTTAGAAAGAGAATAAAAGGGA